TCACATTTTTACCTCACCGGTCATTTTGACCGACCACATTTTCATGCCTTCCAATGCGATTGCTGACGTCTTGAATTAAAACATGAAACTATGATGTATCGAAACAAGTTTCTAATAGTTCGTTTCACTGTCAGTGTAAGCGTATCAATGACCGGTCAAAAACAGATTTTGACTGAGCTAAAATCAAGTTGACCGGTCATTTTGACCGGACACCAACAGTACAGTATCTCACGTTATTTTGAACGCTGAATATACATTCAGAGAAGAACGTTTAAACATATAATACTATTGTTTGTGGAAACACCACGTACATTTATTACTGCAAATAATAATAATTTATTACTTTTTATTATTATTTATAACGTTTAAACACTTTGCACAAGCGAGGTTTAGTATAGATAATCGTGCGATGGCGAGTACAATTAGGGATTAATAGTACGAGTGATGTTTGGAAATTTTGCCAAAATTGGACGAGCCGCCGGGGCTTTGCTTTTGTTCGTATTTTCATCTAGTTCCTCCACGGCAATTTCATTTCACATTTGTGTTTAAAATACCTTTCCGCCATTTTGTTTGTTTTGGGAAAATCATTAATTGTACTGCAGTACAATTAATGAAATAATTGTACTCCTCTCGACCAATCAGTATCCAGTAATTTTGTCATGCTAATAATAAAAACAGTTAAAAAGAACCCCTTCAATTTCAGACTCACCATCGATCGCAAATTATCACTCTCCCAGAGAAGTGCGGAAATTTCTGAACGAACAACGTAAGGTTTTTCTTCAAACTTAATCACGTGAACGACTTTATCACCGGGCAGTTTCAACCTTTTCACGACGACATTGATAGAGTCAGAAAGTTCTTCACAAACTTGACGCATGAACTCCAGATCTTCCTCCGTCGGCTTCTCTTCTGAAAATAAAAATTACATTACCGTCAGAGGAAGATCTAGCCCAGGGCTCGAATTTTATCGCGGCAATTGCCGTAGAGGGAGAACAAAATGCCGTGGATCATTGCGGCAACGACGGGAATTTTTTGCCGTATAGTGCAATTTTTATACTATTCACTGTGCATTACTACTTTGATACCTGAGTTCAGATGTTGATCAAATCATGCGTAAATTACTATTTTAGTCTCAGGTTTCTTCGAGAAAAAAAACCCACTAAAGAAATGCGTAGACATGTTTCTAGCTTGTCAAAAATCCAAAGTAACAATAAAATTAAACTTTTATTACAGTAATTTGAATTGCCGTAGACAGCTGTTACGTTCTACGGCAATTTTTAACGCCACTGCCTTCGATTGATTTCAGGGAAATTCGAGGCCTGATCTAGCCTCATCTGGGAGGAGGGTATGCGTGACTGGACAGTTGCTGTAGCACAGTGCAATAAATTTACTATGGCTGTATAACAACCTCGATATGTTTACGCATTTATAACCATGATATTTAACTAAAGCATTCCGAGTGTTTTCTCGTGAGCTCACAAATCAATTTTTTGAAAAATCGTTTCAAGAAATCGACATCAACAAGTTCCGCTAATCGCTACTCGAAAAACCAAAAATGTATGGCCAAGCAGATTTTTTAGGGTGGTGCTGGACTTCGAGGGGGCACACTAATACCTAAACACGCAATTAAATAGAGAATAATACATGGGTGCTTGGAAATACCAGATTTATTTCTCGTGTTGAACATGATATCTCACTCGTGAGATATCACGTTCAACACGAGAAATAAATCTGGTATTTCCAAGCACCCATGTATTTTTCTGTTTCTTATATAAAGGACAGTCTTTGAAAAGCGATAATTTTTAGAGAAAAGCGATAATTGAAAAGCAATAATTTTCACATGTGAGATTATCATGAATAATCTCACAAGTGAGATTATCACTTTTATCAGTGCTCGAAATCTCTATAAAGCACTATACTTTATATGATAAATAAAAATAATATATTTATACCATCCATGGTGATAGGAGCAATTTCTTCCTGCATTTGAGGCAACGTCGCTTCGACTGGGGGTATGTGCATCAACGAAAAATCATAACTATCAAAAAATGAAATTCAAGAAAACCGTACACATTTCAGAGCTATGCCACAGAATGTAATGTTGTACAAGCACAAAATTTACTTACGGAAAGCCAGTGAACAATGGGATAGAATAATCTAAAAAAATATTTACCGTTGAAATGAATGCGTCAAAAAATATTATATATCATATAAAGTGTTTTCATTTCTTTAAGGTAGTTTAATCAAATCACAACAGCTTACTGCATAAAAGTAATTTTAAATTTTATAACAACGTATTTAAGCTTCGAACTTGTAGTAAACATGTGAATATGTTACCTGGAAATGTGGGTTGTAAGGTGTTCAAAGTTATTTGTTGATTGATTTCTTTCTGACTTGGTTCGGGAGGAGGTAGACCAGGTGGAGTGCTTCGTCCATTCACTAAATTATGAACAAAAATCCAATCAACCGAAGAGAAAAGGGTTGGATAAACAAAATGTTGAATAAGTGAAAAGGTTGGATAATCCGCCATCTTGGACAAATTTTTTATCTCATTAACGGTAGTTTTGGTGACGTAACAATAGGGATTAACCATACAAAAGTATTCGTTGCTGCACTGTTAATTTCGAGGAGTCAAATTGACTCCAAAAGTGGAGTAAATAAAAAAGGTACAGAACGACTCCTTTTTTGGAGTAAATTTTACTCCTTTATTTACTCCATTTTTGGAGTAAATTTTACTCCATAAGTAGAGTTGTTTTTACTCCTCAAAGAGTAAAAACAACTCTACTTAAGGAGTAAAATTTACACCAAAAATGGAGTAAATAAAGGAGTAAAATTTACTCCAAAAAAGGAGTCGTTCTGTACCTTTTTTATTTACTCCACTTTTGGAGTCAATTCGACTCTTTTGGAGACGAAATGACTTCTATATATCGGAGTAAAGAAAAGTCTTTAACTAACTTTAGAAATGAATAAAGACATTTTTCGAGTCAAAATAATTTATTATCCCTACAAGTAAGGTATATTATAGCAGGATATACAATTTGCTTTAAAGGTCTTGATATTTCGAAGGGCAGACAGAGTATAGTTTTGAGTGCAAAATGATTAGTGGTTGTCTAGATAAAAATATCGCGTGATCCCTGTTGTGACGTGACGTGACATGCATATCTACAAAAATTGAAGATGGCGGACATTTCATTCCTTTCGATCAAAATATTTGCAGAAGTAAGCAAGATATGAAAATACGGTAAAAGAGTATTATATACAGTCTTAAAAGTTCTTTCAAATGAGAAAACTAAAAAAATATATTGCCATTTCCCTTTAATGCTCGTTGTTTACCTTGTTTAAATTCGGCAAAGCCTTCTTCGACAAGCTTATCATTAATATATATATCGTCTTTACCAGTTGTGTCACAAATGAACACGTCTAACACATCATCCTGAGGGAAAGACAAAATGTTGACGGGAATTCACCAGAGAGGATGAACAATAAACCTCAAGAGATTGAACAATCATACCTTTTTCGCACTAGCTAGACCAATCAGAGGCTTGTTCGCTGTTAATTCGTTCATTCTGTGAGCTGCAGAGGGGTCCCACTTTGTCTAAAAGATTGCAAACTTTGACTTGTTAAGGATTCAGCATTTTGGGCATATCTCATTTGATAGGTCCTCTGGTAGGAATCGAACCAGCAGTCTTGCGATTCCGGTGCAGCGCTCTAACCAACTGAGCTACAGAGAGACAGTTGCCGAGCTCTAACCACAAGTTCATGTATAAATACTAAAGTGATGCCAATGTATGGTGTAAGGCAAGCCTCGAATTTCCCTGAAATCAATCGACGGCAATGGCGTTAAAAATTGCCGTAGAACGTAACAGCTGTCTACGGCAATTTTGGCAGTTTCCACGGCATTTTTTCAAATTACTGTAATAAAAATATAATTTTATTGCTACTTTGGATTGTTGACAAGCTAGGAACATGTTTGCGTATTTCTTTAGTGTTTTGTTTTCGAAGAAAACTGAGACTAAAATAGTAGTTTACGCATGATTTGATCAACATCTGAATTCAAGTATCAAAATAGTAATGCACAGTGAATAGTATAGAAATTATACTATACAGCAAAAAATTGCCGTCGTTGCCGCAATGATCCACAGCATTTCGTTCTCCCTCTACGGCAATTGCCGCAATAAAATTCAAGCCCTGGTGTATGGGTAAGTATCATGATTTTGGGATTCATACGACATACATGTATTCAAGTGAAATACTATCTCACCAATTTTGGCGTAATGTTTGCCAGCTTGCTTTTAATGGATTGAGATGGAAGTTGAAAGAAATCTTTTCTGAAAGTAAATAGAAACTCTAGTTAAGGCATTCTTCTGCGCAGATGGTCCGTCTTGATAGTGAGTATAAGTGGCGGGATGGGGGTAATGCTAATTATCCTTACTTGCTCAGCTGAAAGGTAAACTGATTTACGAAGGACGCAGCTCAACCTGATCCAGTCAAAAGCTTACTAGGGACTCCTCTGGTAGCCACCTTATGACTCATATCTGATCACGGAGCACAACAACGAGGGAAGGGTGAGTTGGTGGGCTAATCCTAACCCAGTAACCCACCCTGTCAACATCTCCTGTGAGAGGAAACCAGAGTACCCGGAGAAAACCCACAACTTTCAGTAGAGAGTTGACTGACTCTTTTCACGTAAGTGTCATAAGTTTGATGTGAGGATCAAACCCCACAATCTCAGAGTTGAAAGGCGCTTGTGCCACCCATCTGTTTCTCCTCATTAAAACAGACAAATCATCCGGTATCATGCAACTGGGGCCTAACAAGTGCATGAAATCACAGCAGAAGAATCAGCATACTTCATCAGTCGTATATCAGACTTGGATACTTGAGATGAGTTGCCATAGTCAACATAAAATACTTCAACTGTTACTGGTGACGGCATGGCAGTGATGAGTCCACGATACCATTCGCGATCGACAGGAAATCTTGCGACACAAACCTAGAAATGTGTGATGTTGGTGGGTTTCAGTCAGCATTACTAACCAGCAACATACACCAGTAAATTTTACGTTTCTGTGATGCAAAATCCCATACCTGACCCAATTTGATCAAACTCTCGTCAACCATAAACTTGCCACTTTCTTTAGAACTGTAGAATTCTCTAAAATGGTACCGTAGGTGATGTTATGTCATGATATATGATGGTAGATGACGTAACAGTAGATAATAAGAGAAGTTGGAATATACACTCTAAAAACACTCTGGTTAAATTCAACCAGTACGGGGTTAAAAATCCACCTACACAAGTCTGGTTAAAAAAAATTAACCATTTTCCTGGTTAAAAGTCAAAAAAAGTGTACCAAATTTTTGTTGAATTGATAATTTTTAACCAGGAAATGGGTTAAATTTAACCAGAATGTGTTGGGTGGATTATTAACCCAATTCCTGGTTGAATTTAACCAGAGTGTTTTTAGAGTGTATAAGTTCTAAGACAAGGGCATAGTCACAGGGGGAATAGTATGGGTCTGGACCCCCCTCCCACACTTTTCTTCACAACCAATTTTGTAACTCTTCCAAACTGAGAAAGGGGAGGGGGTAACCTTCCTTCATCTATGATATAAAATACACCAAATCTGTGGCTTTCAATTTATCATAAAACATGTCTACAATGCATGAAGTAGTGTTTCACAGACTCTAAAATACAGTAGGATGACTGAACCATACCCCAAGATGGCCAAACACCAAACACCCCCTGCCCATTCATTTTGGGCCACGCCCCTATAAGAAGATGGACGTAATGGTCTCATCAATGATAGTTGAGAATGACAGGAAACCGGTCAAATCACTACCTCATATTTTTCTGTAATTCTGTCACTTCTGTTGCATATTTCAACAGCTGTATCCAGAAACAATCTGGCGTTCTGATATGCGTAACATACAGCTCGATATCGAACTCTTCCGGCAGGCTCTGCTGACTGTAGCCGACACCTTTGCCAATGGCATTCTCTGGCACATCCACCTTTGTTATATTCTTATCTGCAAGTAAATTTGTTAAGAGTCATAAATTTCAAAAACCTTCATAGTAAGAAAGAGCACATTGACCTCTACAAAATCTCAAAGTTTGACATTAATCAGGTCAATATTGATCAAGATACAGCCATTCAAAATGCCAAAATTCATTAAGGCATTTCTTAATAATTTTTCTGTTTTTGAATGGCTCTAACTTGATCAATGATGACCTGATTAAATTAACATCAAACTTTGACGTTTTGTACAGTAAAGGACAATTATGTGCTCTTTCTTTTTGTGCGAAAGTTGTGTACCCAGGATCTCTCATTTTAAAAGTAGGCAATGGCATGGAGAACAGTCAAAAACAATGAAATGACAATGGGACATTCAGTTGACTGGATCATGACTGGATGGCCCAAAGTGTGGTCCAAAGGGCCCATTTAGGCATTTACAGAAGTTGAATTACCTTTTCTTGATTTCGCTGCAAGGAATAACAACCAATCACCATTGGGAAATGGTCTTTCAATTCTAAATATGTCTGGCAAAGCTGAAGCCAGTTCTATAATGCTGTAAAATCCCACAGTCAATACATTCAACTCCTTGCCAAGCAGAGTCTAAAAATGCCAATTTGATCAGAGTTGGAAATTAATGACAAATATAAAGGATAAGTTAAAATCTGCAAATTAAACTATTGTAATTACATATAATGTTGTACTCAAAATTTCAATAAATCTTTACTCAAGCATTTAATTATTAGAGAAGAATTTTTTGTATGCTACGTAACACACCCTCAAAACTAATGTGTGCAATATAGCATTTGTGCTCCATTCAAAATTTTTATTTTTGGACATGTTTCTCAATCGGCAAACAAACTTAAAAAGAATATTTTGTGCCTTATCTGTAATATAATGCTAAAATGAAGAGATTTTAGATGACATGCCAAGGAGAATTATGTCTGAAGTTCAATAAGATTTGCTTATATTGCTGTAAACATGACATCACTTTTAAAACATCATTGATTATTGTATTTTAATTGACAACTTTTTACATCATGTTTCTCAACCGGCAAATGAACTAAGTATATAAACTAGAGAATAAAACTGAAAAAAAGCAATTTTTCATTTTTTGACACTTTTCATTGAAAATACAATAAATTTATAAATTTCAGTAAAATATTTTGCAAAACAATAAAAATAAAATATATATTTTGCCAAAAATTTTTTCAAACCTTAAATTCAAAGGGAAGGCGAGCTGCCCAAACGCCATTTGGTCTGTTTGCTAGGACAGATATGAGTTCATCTTTCATTGATTCACTCACACCACTTTTGGAATCGAGCAAATCTTTAACCCTCTCCACATTTTGTTTATTTTCATCTTTCTTCACGCCCTCCAGCGAGTTGAGATCTGTTAAGGGTTTGCGTTTGCTTGGGATGACATACACACCACTCTTTGGTGTGTCAGTCTTTGAGGGAGCTCTCGAAGGTGGTGGTCTCGAAGGTGGTGCCCTCGAAGGAGGGATATTTTGAGACTGTGGTTTTGAAGAAGGGACATGGGATGGCGGGGGCTTCGAGGGAGGAATCTTTCTCACTGGAAAAATCATTCAAGGTCAATAAATACAGTTCAGTAAATTAACCCTTTAATTTAACTAGCATAGCACCCCATTTTATTATTTAACTTTGTCTATTAAATGCAAGACAGTTTACCCATCATCAAGGAGAGTGTGTTGGCACTCAATGTGTTAATCAGACTCTCTGACCACGTATTAAGTTAACATCCGACTAAATGTCCGTCTAAATTAGGCAAATGTCCCAGCAAATTTAAAAATGTATAATGTGACAATTTTTTGTTGTGGTCGGACCATAGACGGATTTTCATATTTTTTACTGGGGTGGTGCCAGAAATTTCAGGGGGGTGAGCCGTGAGCAGGTGACTGAAGCAACACAAAGTGTCACCAAACCCCAGTAAGGTCTATATTCTAGGGGTGGAGCACTAGAGCCGCGTTCTCAATAAGGAATAGCCCATACTGGACCTCCAATTTAGAACTATCCATTACAAATAATGTTAGTTCAGTTTAGTTAAAAAATATTATACTCAAATACCTGGCGGTGGTGTTCTTTTTCTAATAGCGCAAATACGATATCCGCCTCTTGGATTTCTAACAATTTTCACAATATCCTGAATAGCATTCAAGAATTGTGACATTGATTTAAAACCCAGCCTTGAATGGTTGATGTCTTCTCCATAATGTCGCGAATATGCCTGAGTCAGGGCCGAGCCGAGGATGCCATTTGGATAGACGCTCAGTAACTCTTTGATGTTCCTTCGAAAGTGATCTGGTACTACCAAAGGTCTTGTGCTGACGGGAGCTTTGAATATTCGTCGAGATTTTGAACCACTAACACGCTGTCTGGCTACAAGTTTTGCGATGTGTTTTGAACTATCATCTGCTATGCCTGTTCAATGATGAAAACATTGTCAGGGGAGATCTAGCCTCATCTGCAAAGAGGGGTGCAGGTTTTCCATGGGGTGGTGCATGAACGAGCCTTACTGCCCACTCTCCTCTGCAATGCTACTATCTCAACATTACCATTGAGATGGCGTATTGTGCATGTTCACCATTCTTTATGCCCCAAGAGATTGGTTGCAATTACGTTTTTACACACCAAAACATTTTTACTGCACAACATTAAATAGAATTTACTTATAGCATTGTTATTAAAATTATACAGAAAAATTGTATATATAGACAACATAAATATAGTAAATTCACTTGTATTGCTAATTTATTGGCACAAACGTTTATAATCTAATCATAAAAAATTCCTGCTGGACTTAAGGAATTTTTCCCGAGCATTTATATACAGGTTTTCATAAGCAAAAACAATTTATATAATACTAAATTTATACATCTACTTCAAATATATCATGTTGCAAGCAAAACAAATAAACGACCAATAAAAATAAGATTGAATACCTTTCAATATTAAAATGCCGTTGCTCCATGATGGAGAAACAACATCGGGCATTGTTTTAAGAAATTCTAAAGCAGTCTTGCATCTGAAATGTTTGAACGGCAGAGGTTTCCCCAGTACTGCTTGATAATCATGTTCAATATCGTCAACGCTGAGTCCTCTTGGAGCAGAAATTAGCAACGCTCGTATATTCTTTTTCACTTCGGGAAACGTAGGAAGTTCCTTTGGAGCGTTCATAGTCGTTTTCATGTAATATTTAAACAAGAAGGCCTTTATATTAGCTAAAATGTGTCAACCATGTTTATCAGTGCTTTGAACCACTTTTGAACACGTGCACAAAAAGTCGCGCTTTTTATGCGCGCATGGAGTGTGATACACCCGGGGAAAAATACCCTTGTTTATACTCCCGGAAGAAAGACACCACCGCCTTGTAATTTTAGGGTTGCAAATCGCGCAGGTTGTTTATTTATTTACAAGAGATAATTAGACTAGACAAAATGTTGCAGGTTGAAGCAGAAAGTTCAGTACACCCGGGGTAATGCACCCATACTTCTAGGAGTACCGGGCTGGGGGGGGGTGTGCAGCTGCCACCATATGTTATGTTACATTGTTTCATATGTTACATTGTTACGTTATAGTTAAGCTTTAGCAATACCTGTAAAATATGGTCATGCTAATAAAGCGATTATCAATCACCCTAGATTGTTGGAAAAATATAAAAGTTTCAATAAATTACATTCCGAAATTTTTTTCGTCAATGGGAAAAAGTTGGGCCAATTTCTTTCCGCCCCCTAATTTTTTCCTTCCCAAACGCCTATGTGCTTACATGCATGAAGAGAACAATTTAAGAACATTTACATTTTTTAATGTCAAACAAATTTCAAAAATTATCCAAGAACTATAAAACCAGATCAAAGGCTTTCAAGCAGGGGCGTAGGAAGCTTAGAAAAGTTGGGGGGGGCCAGGTTTTGAGGGGCACTTTCAAAAAAAAAAAAGGGCATCTCAAAAAAATTTTTTGGCGAACTCCCCCCCCCCC